CCCCCAATATGTCTCTAACCTCTATCCTGTCTCTCGGCCTACTTTTGCCTCCAGCCCTCACCCTGAGCCTAGCCGGAGCCCATCAGCACCCACCCTGGAGGAAAACTAGAATTTGTCTGCCTGAAAGGGTCTGTTGTGGCTGAGGCATCAGCCCCGGAGCCCCGCCCGGCCCGCGGCTGGAAGCGGACGTGACGTCAGCTGTGCGCCGCCGTCTCCGAGGACGCTAACTCGGCGCGCCCGGGGCCTTCATCGCCCTCCTGTGGCGAGCCCTTTGTGAAGGGGACACCGGAGATGGAGGGGGCTCGTTAAAGGACGGGCGTGACCCAGGTCGCTGAGGGGCCTCCGTAGAGAGGCCTGGCCCGCTCCGCTCGCGTCCGCCTGGGCTGCGGGTCCTCCCAGGGCCGAAAGGCCGCTCGGGGCGTCGGTCTCCCGCCTGGAGACGGTGGAGAAGTGCCTTAAGGGCGCGTCCGCGGGGGCTTTACATATTGTGTGCCCTCCTCTTTAAAAGCCTCCGAAGCAGCCTTCGTCAATTACTTTTCCAGAAGGAAGAGAATTTCCTCCGTTTGAGTCAGGTTGACTCCGGCCCCGAGCAGCTCACAGACCCGGCGAAACCGGCGCTTTTTGGTGAGCACTGGGTGGAAGTTGGCTCGAGGGGCCTCTTCCTCCTTTTCTTATGCAGACGAATGTTTCATCTGAGAATGTGGCTGTTTCTTTGCGCATCATGTAATTATTGATAGATGACTTTCAGGCAGAAAGATAAAGGTATTTCTTAGGTGTTTAGGGCGTGTGTGTTTCTGTATGTGAATATAAACATTTGTAGACTCCAAGTCTTTTTTTATTTCTTTTTTCTGTACAGACCTAAGAATACTCAGATATTCTCTTCATATGAACTTCCCAGGGCTATACAACACCACAGAGCTTCACAACCGGGCCTCCAGGAAGAAAAGATGGAGGCTTTCTTACATTGGTACTAGAATAATTTAATTCACAATTAACAGGATGGTTGGATTAAGTATAATTTTCCCCACGTTTCTCTCCAAAAGCCTTAAACATACCTACTGGTCATTTGAACATCCAGTAAAATGAATACCCATCGTAGTAGATTCACATACTTTTAGTGTTTTTCTTGTTTCGTCTGTCCTCATATAGATAAGTACATTTTGTGGTGAACTGTTTTGAGATTAAGTTGAACATAAATTGTAGACGCGGTACTTTACCTTTAAATACGTGGTAATGCGTCTTCTAAAGATAAGCACATTGATCCACTAAAACCACGATGCTATTATTTTAATCAAGAAAATGAGAAACAATATCCTCTGATGTCTATTCTGTGTAACAAGCTAAAATTCTCCACATTGTTCCAAAATAAGTATTTTAAGTTTTTGGATCTAAGATCCTTTGAAGTTTTCTGTATTGCCTTTGCCTACGTCTTTTGGTCTCTCTGGACCTAGATTAGTCCCTGTTGGAGACATTATATTGACTTTTTGAAGAGAGCTGTACACTCTTTTAGACAGTCATTTGGATAGTTATGATTGTCTTCCCATGGAAATGAGAAGTATGTAAATTAGCCCATTCTTTTTGTATTTCCTGTAACTGATAAATGGGTTCATAGCTGAGATTGGCAAGCTTTTTGTCTTTTTATAAAGGGCCAGATTGTAAGTACTTAATGCTTTGGTGGTCATAATGCTTCCAGCTAATGAGGTGTGTCTTTGTACTGGTCATGCAGCCATGTAGTATAGTAAATAGGTAGGCATGGCTTTGTTCCAGTAAAACCAAATGAACGAAAACAGACCAGTGAGCCGTAGTTTGCCAACTCCGGGTTTAGAGAATTCAAGAGATAATTTGCAAAATGTTTTGTAGGTGATGTTATATACTTCCGATTGTATTTTATCAGGTAGACATATATATTGTCCCACTGTTAGTGATGCTAAGTTTGATACTTGCTTAAAGTATTGATCATCACAACACTATTTTTTTCTTTCTCTTTTGAGCAAATTTTTTTAAAGATAGACTTTCTCTTTTGAATAAGAAAGTAATTTGTGGGTTGATATTTTGACACTCAGTATATCTTGTTCCCCAGCAACCTTTGTTCCCAATTCTTTAAGCATCCGTGACCATCTATGAGTAACCTGTAGTGAATAAATTCTAAATGTTTTTTTCCATATGTGGAGGTGCATTGTTAGTGTAAGCTTTTAAGGTTGGATGTGTAGGTCAAAGGGCAAATGTACATTTAATTTTGCTGTACGTTACATTTTTTCTCTTCCACAGATTTTGTACCATTTGGCAGTTTCTGAGTCAACTTTTAAAAAACTTGTTTAAAAATTATTCTGGGGAAAAATGAGAAACAGATTTTAGTTTTAACTGCCAGGCACTTGTTTTGAAAAAGAAGGTCAACATCCTGCTTATTTTCTTTTTTTTTTCTTTTCTTTTTTTTTTTTTAAAGATGACCGGTAAGGGGATCTTAACCCTTGATTTTGGTGTTGTCAGCACCACGCTCAGCCAGTGAGCGAACCGGCCATCCCTATATGGGATCCGAACCCGGGGCCTTGGTGTTATCAGCACCACACTCTCCCGAGTGAGCCACGGGCCGGCCCCATCCTGCTTATTTTCATCATGAGTAAGAATACTCAAATGTATTTTTGGAAGTATTGTGTTTTGGTTTATTTAGTATTGCAGACAGGCATTTTATATGAATCTTATTAAATTTTTGCATTGTAATTCGATTTCTCTATGCCTTCTGTTTGTGCTTAGCTATACTTTAACTTTTTTTTAAATTAAATCATAGTTGATTATACATATTTTTGGGATTCAGCATTGACATATGTTGATCAAATCAATATTACTAGTATATACATTGTTACAAATTGTATTTATTCTTTATGCCCCTTGTCAAATCTCTCCCTATCCCCCTCACCCTCCCACCACCCTCCACTGATAACCCTAGATTTCTTCTCTCCCTCTGAAAGAGTAATGGTTACTCTGTTGATTTGTTACCTAGATGATCTGCGAAATGCTGAGAGGTGTGTTTGGGTCCCCCAATCTTATCATAGAGCAGATGCTTCTTCTGTCACTTTGGAATGGGCTTTGTGGAGAAAGACATCCTCTTCTTTTCTTTGGTCTCTGCTGGTGACTCTCTTTGTGTCAATGCCCTCCAGTGGCTGCTGGACCATCTGTGTGGTGGTTGTGACATCTAGCCACTTTCGGGGCAGCTGTGGTTACTGTGGTGTCTGTGTTGGGCCACCCACATGGACTTGATGTTTTTGGCATGCTCCTTGGTGGTGGCTGGCAGTGTGCCTGGTTGTGGGTGTGGCTCTGGTCCCAGATCCATGCTCAGGCCCCCAGGTGGGCCCCAAGGCCCTGGTGGTGTGCCTGGTTGGGGGGTGGTTCTGGACCCCTGGAGGCCTGAGGCGCTGGTGGTGTGCCTGGGCTGGAACTAATTTTTTGTTCTTTGCTTACTTCTGAAACAAGGGAGCTTCCTGTGGGAACCAGTACTTGAGCTATGTGGTTGAGCTAAATTGCTGCTTTGCTGCTGTTTCCTAGGGAAGGCTTTTTGTGCAGCCCAGGGTTTAATGGCTGACCTTATAGGTACTTCCTGCTCACCAGAGACCCAGTTCACCTGGGTTGTGTAGAATCTCTGATCTGGGCCTGAGTCTTTTCGTCAAACTGCACCCCATGCAGTTTTGTCCCAGTGTTTTCCCAGTGGGCCTGTCTCCCCAACTGCCCATGCTCCAAACACTTCCCATGAGATGGGCCCTGCGCTGGTCCCTTGTGATGACTCACTGGCCTCTAAATAGCTCCTTTTTTCAGTTGTTGTGTCTCCTCACTCCTTTGTGTTGCCACGGGAACCCTATCAGTGGTCTTGCTGTCCTGGGGGCCACCAAGGCCCTCTTCTCCCCTGCTGCCTCCAAGCATCTCCATCTTAAGGGCACAGCTGCAGCTTCTGCTGGCTCCTGCTCCATGCGCTCAGCAGCTCTAGCCTTAAAGCGCTCGCGGCCCGAAATGCTCCAAGCAGTTTTTTCTTTCTCTCATTGTGGTTTCTCCCTCCTCCATGAACTCTGTAGGTCTCTCTTCCTCTTCCCCTGAGCTCTTGGCTGTTGTTACATTTTTATAGTTGTAAATTGGTTGATTTGTGGGAGAGAGTGATGCTGGGGACTGTCTATTCTGCCATCTTGACCAGAACTCCTACTTTAACATTTTTTGTGTGGGGAATGGCAGTTGTCTGGCAACCACAAGTGATCATTGGATTTTTTTAATGAACTAGGCTTTCTGCCAGCAACAGGGAAACAGTGACCATCAAGTCAGACATAGTACTGATACCATGGGACTTACAATCTACTAGGGAAGACATTTAAACGAATACTGGCAAGTATGTTCTATGGACTTAATGCACTGATAAGAGGAGGGAGGACATACTGGGGAGGATTGATATTTAAGTTGAGAACAAAGCATGATTTAGCTAGTCAAGTCTTTAAGCTAGGATGAGGAGGTGTGGAGTAAGTGAGAATATTTCAGAAGTAGGAAACTTAATGAGCAAAATTCCAGAGCAGTTGAGAACCTAGTATATTTGTTGTACTGAGGAGAGGGGGTTGGTTGAAGCAGAGGAGAGAGAGGAGTGGGAGGTAGAAGACAGAGCAGGGTTAGGACCAGAGGAATGTCAGTCTGAATTATATTCTAAGACCATGGGAGCTTGTGAAATCTTTTAAGCAGGAGAGTGATTTAAATATAATTTGAATCTAAATTTCACACGTTTAGTGTAGAAGATTAATGCTTAAGAAATCTAGTCCATTGTTCCACAGGACGTGTTGAAGCCGAAATGAATAAATTGATAACAGTCATAGTTGAGAGTTTGGGTCCTCAACATCCCTTTGCACCCTTGTACACACATTTGAATTCTCTTACACGAATAAAACAACTGTATATTTTTACCTAAAAGTATACAAAGGAAGAAGTTCTCACCCTTGCCCACAGTGACAAAGTGCACTGTTTCCCATCAGAGGCCTATTAATTTATCCTGAAATTTAGTGACACTCTCACTGAATAGTCTGTTACTTAAACACTACATTGTAAATTTAACCTCTAATAAGTTGTGTATGAAATAAGAATGTGAAGGAGAGAGAAGTTAATGTTTAGTTTATATCAATGAACACTTACATATAAACAGACACACAAAGATTTATATGAACAGGGTTTGATTTGAGTGTTTTGAACCAAGACCTAGTTGCGGCTGCCCGTTACTTGCAGTGTATTCTGAGTTTCTTGTGCAAACCTTATCAATTCTTTTTGTGATTTTTTTTGGCTATATGTGATATAGCCAATGGTTATTTCCCTTTTCTGCCATCATCTTGCCCCAGAATCAATTCAGGCTATTTGTGTTTCCAGGGGTGTGTGTGTGTGTGTGTGTGTAGGACACTCTGTATTTTTCACTTGCTTGATTTTTTTCCATAGCACTTATGAACTGATATTTGAAATTTATTGCTTATCTTCTCCCATAGGATCTTGGGTCTTTAAGGCATGTGACATTTTTTCTGTAATTCTCTGCTCTCTGGTCAGTGCTTAGGACAGGGGGAAAACTTTCTAATTGTCTGAAAGAATCAAGTAATAAGCCAAAGCTGAAAAATCCAGAGGAGGCACAGAGCTCCAAGTTACTCCAGGCTCTAACAAAGGAAGCTCAAGGGTGTTAAGCCAATGAAAGTTCATTAATCCGCTCTTCCTAATGCCCAGCTGCAATCTAGACCAGTGCTGTCCAGTAGAAATACAATGTGCTGGTCATATATATAAATTAAAAACTTTCAGTATCCACAGTAACCTAAAAACAGGGCTGACTGGGTACCTCAGTTGGTTAGAGCATGGTGCTGGTAACACCAAGGTCAAGGGTTTGGAGCCGTGCACCAGCCAACCACCAAAAAAGAGAAAGAAAAAGAAAAAGGAAAAGAAACAAGTATTTGTAGCAATTTATTTTACCCCATA